AAAGATTTGATGAAAGGGGTTTAGCCTTGAGTTTGTATTGATCAGATAATATAAAAGGATAAATAAGGGATATTGGATTTGATTGATAAGAATGGTCAAAAACCATAAGCTAAGGATAGAATCAAGCAGGAAAGGATTTCTAGATAAGAAGTGAAACCCTAGACTTTATAAGAAATTATATAGGCAAACAAACCTAGACTTTGGGAATAACATCCTTGGTCAAGATGCCCATGGCTTTCTGTCGACCTAGAAATATTGGTATCCGTCGACTATGACCAGCCTTATAACCAGGAATCCCCATTAAATGTCGGAGCATGGAGGATTCATAGTTTCGTGGTAGCGTGCAATGTCTCCCTTAGTAACAATGGTTTACTTCAATCTAAGGTACTACCTCTAGTCTCACGGGGTAGGTTTTTTGTTTTTCATGTCCTAGTCCTTAGTTCTATTAGGTACCTGATGCACAAAAAATATATGCATTTTTAGACCTATATTTTAAACTCATTTTTGGTGATATTGCGCTTTAAAGGAAGATATTTTTATGTTTTATTGCAGGTTGATGATTTTTAGCACTTGAAGCAAAAAGAAAGCAAAAAGTATGGAATTTGGAATCAAAATGGTGTTTTGGAAGAAAAACTCAGCGCCGACGGTGCCAACATGACGGAGGAGTCCAGAACAGCGGGGGCGCGGATGGCGCCATTTATAGAGAGCACATAAATTAATTCGGACCATGGGCATAGACGTCGCCAATGACGGTGTTAGGCGAATTTCTAGAAGATTCGATGAATTTGGACACTTTTTGAAGAGTTATTGGATACAACTCTTGGAAAACTGACATTATATTTTATTTAGAGCGAAAATTGATCAGAAAAAGGGGAGCCAGTGTGCCATTGAGTCTTCTAGAGTGTTCCATTGTGAGTGTTCCATTGTGTGTACTGTGTGTACTGTTTAGTGTGGTGAGTCTAAGTGTGATTTCTCCTAAGAGTTGTTAGAGAGGGAGAGAAGTGAGAGATTTTTTCTTCTTTACATCTTTGAAGAGAGAATCAAAATTCTTGTAAAGAGAGAAAGAGACCAAGAGAGGCTACAATAGATAGGAATATCATCTTTCATTAGATTGGTCAAATAAAGGTACAATTTATTGAGCAGAGGGAGGTTGAAGAAATGAACAATGACACAATAGATATTGAAGAAGATGAGGGCATAGAGGAATATCATCTTTCAACTAATGAGGGAGAGATGCACGTAGTTTAAGCTGAGCCCATGAGAGTATTTCCAACAAAATTAATAGTGGTTGCCTAAGATGGTTCTTAGTTATAGGTACTTACACCAGACACATGGAAAACCCATATAAGATAATCTCAAACTTTTCAGATATGTAGTCTACTTCCTGAGTTGCCCCTATACTCAGGGAGGCCAAACATTTAAAAGATGAGATTCTTTTGGCGTCACTTTTGGAAGACTAGGTAGAGTCATTTGGGTATTAAAATAAGATCAACACTGTACCCATCGACAAATGTTCAGAGGATGTATGACCTGCATTCTTCGCCGCTGTCACTATTATTCTTGCTCATCCCCGCCTCCCTAAATAGCGTTCCTGGCTGTTTTGTTGTTGTTCCTGCCCTCTTGAACCACTTCCTTGCCACTTTGCCGTTGTCCTAAGCCTCTTGCACTGCCTACCTGCCCAATATCTGCTGTCCCAGTCACCAAGAACCCCCAGCCTACAGCTTAGCTGTTGTTCTTGACACCCAACACCGCTTCAGATCGTTGTTTCTCTGCTGCCCAGCCCACCTATCAACTTGCTATCATTTTGGGCAGCGAACATCCCCTGCTACTCTGATGTACCACCTACTCGCTCCACCTTCCCACATTGCCGTCAGCTTTCCGAACCTCCAACGCCACCACCATCGCCTTCAATACATCCTAGTTGCGGTTTGTGTATCGTCTGTTGCTATTTTCTTTTTCCGTGTGTTGGTTGTATCTTTTTATTGACTTTTTCAGTAATAATATTTATTTGTTTATTGTTATTTGGGTTAACTATGGTATCACACACAAATGATTACATCCCACCTTTATTACCACTAGTTTTTTTTTTTGATGTAAATATGTCATCTAGATAATGAAATTCCTACATCAATGGCATTTTCCTAGAAATAATATTGAATAAAGAGAAGTACAATCAGGTAGAATAAAATACAAATTTTTTATTTGGGTCATTCAACATGAATCCTAATAAAAAGGGGGAGCGAAAATAAATTTTCTTTTGATTTTTACACTTTTTGATATAAAGAAGATGAAATCCTTTATCCACTTGTGAATTGACACTCTGAATGCTATGATCGGATCTTGTTTTGATAATTATTCATCATTTTATTCACCAATGGTAATAGTTTGGGGCACTTTAAGAATTTGCAGGGAATTATTTTAGTGATAGTTGAAGTGATCAACCCTAATGAGCTAGGAGAAGTAGAAACGTCAACCATTTCCACTCGAAAAAGAAACTTGGATCTAGGTTACAATAGACATGAACAATAGAAATACGATTTTCTACCATAAAATCATCAGATGTGAAGTCCCGCAACATAAAAGGTTTTCTAAGGTGGGATGTGCTTTCAAACATTCAAAGAATTTTTTGGCTAGAGAAACAATATGATTGCTTGTTTTCAAATTTCACCAGATATTGCTTCTCGTTCATGAGATCAAGTCTGCAGAACAAATACTCAAAATTTAGAGCTAATTTTAGATTTTCTTATGGAACTAGAGCTTGATGTGCCTGCTTCTACTAGCCCCACTAAACTAGTCACCACATCATACATCATCTATAAGCAATCATATTGATTTTGATTCTCCTATTCTAGTAGTCGCACATATCCCAACAATTTTTAAAGGTGCTGATGAAGATATTTAATAGAGGCCTTATGAGTCATATGAGATATTCAACATGATAGTTAACCCAAAAAACACTCGAAAAACAAATATTATTGCTCACTTTAGATAAATGATTAAAACCAACACACTAAAAAAGGAAAATACAATAACACACACAAACAATCACAACTAAATGTATTCAAAGATGTTGGTGCTGCAGATATTAAGGACCAAACTGGAAGAAGGTTTGGTGGGCGATCGGGGGATGGCTACAACCTGAGGAGGTTGCACCTGGGCAGAAATTGCTGCAGTAACAGTCACGACAACAAGAGTGGAAAGTGGAGGGCAAGCGAGGTTGGGAGTCTCTAGTGGTAGAGAGGAAAAATGAAACTAGGAGGGGAAAGGGTTAGAGCATTTGCGGTTGGAAGGATTGCAGCTAGATGGATGGGGGCTAGATTCCTGTGTGAGGGCAGCAACAGAGAGGGTTGATGTGAAGAAGGGCTGAGAAGAAGGGAGGGTGGAGAGGTAACCGTAGCGTTGCTGAAGTAGCGGTAGCAAGCGGAAAAGGGAAAGATACACACCATCTCGGGACGAGTTACAGACCTTAGATAGAGAAAAGGTATGCTGGCGGCTATCCAAACAAAAATATCACCAAATCTGCACCTTAAGACCAAATGAAAACATATTTATAATAAATTAAGATAACTAGGAGAGAGGACAGGCGGGGAAGGAGGAGGCGACAACCCTCCCAACCCTAATTAGGGCTGGCCGGTTCAGCCTTCTTGCTGAGCCGACAACCTCGTGCTGAACGAAAGCCTGATTCTATCCCTGCAGCTCTCGTTAGTCTCTCTGGGTTGGAAGAGCTTCAACCTCATTTGTCAACTCTTTTGTCGTCCCATTGGCGGTGATGGAGCTGTTGTAACTTCTCGTGGCTGAAGGCTCCTTGACTGCGGTCTGAAAAACATCTGGATCCCACCAGCTACCGCACCGTCTCTCAATACACTTGAAGATTTTCCTTCACTTGCAAGCATACATCCATATCTATCCGCTCTCCTCAGGGTTTACTATCGAACTAAAATGAGTTGGCTTATCTTGCATATATTGCTAAATCTTTCCGAAGCAATTCACGGTCGGTTCAATCTGATATGAAATGCTGGTAGTCTGAACCTCTCTGAACAGTGATGGCATGGTGGCAAATTATCAACTGTGATATCCTGAAATATTCTCTGTCGTGATTGTCCCATTTCTGGAGTCGATGTCTCAGTCCTATAATCCTCCGTATCACTAAAATTGGTCCCATCGATGCTACTCTACTGGCAAGGGTGCATGTGATCTCGGGCTTTGTCGAAGGGAGAATAACAATGCACTTCCCCTTCTTGGTGAAGGAGTTGGCATTTCTAAATTTGTCGTGTCGATTCCTACGGTCAAATTGTCACGGTCTCCCTAGCAACAAATGATAGACATCCATGGGTACCACACCACACCACAACTGATCTTGCAACTTACTTTCAATTGAAAACTCCATTAGGCACTTCCGGTCAATGCTGATCCTGTTCTTCTTCAGCCACGTTAAAGAAGACGGTTGGGAGTGCCTCTGAGCAGTGAGACTCAATTTCCCTACTATTTGCGTAGATGTCATATTCTTGCTGCTCTTTCCATCGATGATGAGGCTGCATACCTTCCCGTTTATAGTTCAGTGTGTGTAGAATATGCTGTGACGAAGCCATTACGGATCTCTCGTTTCCTCAATTTGTAGGACCCGTAGAACCATGAGCATCTCACGTTCTTCCTGCGGAATATAATACACCTCACCCTATTTTTCAGTTGTCTCTTTGTCGCTATCCTCCTCCACTGCGCCTTGCTGGGTTAAAGATACAACTTGACTCGTTGGGTAGCCAGAGGTGATTTGCCCAAATATATGATATCTAAAGTATTTTGTGACGGATATCGTAGTAGGCATGCTACTCTTCTTGGGCTTTATCATTCATTGTCATTTAATATTCACATGTATTTTCTTTGGTTTTATAAAATATAGGTACTAATTTGTAATTCTAATTACGTTCTGTCTCATTTATTAATTATTTTATTGAGTTTTCCTCTTTGCTTCAGTATTTTTTACTGAATAAAATTCATTGCAGATGAAAAGAGGGCTTTAAAATTAGTAGATGCTCCCGTATCTGGTGGCGTCACAAGGGCAGAAGGGGGAACGCTTACAGTGAGAATTTACTGTACTTCATTTTTATTGTCAATGAGGAGCAAGCTACATTCATTTATTATCTTATTTGCGGTGTTAACATGATTTACTTTTGCACTCGCATGTTTTATTTGTTTATTAAATTATACTGAAAGATTCAAGCTGTTCTTTTTATTACAATCTCCTTACAGATAATGGCTTCCGGCACTGATGAAGCTTTTCACTGCGCAGGTTCAATTCTTTCAGGTAATTCTAGTATTCTTCTTCTAATGTTGTGAGAAAGAGTACTTGTACAAGTTTATATGTCTTTTGTTACAAATGTTATTGAAATAACTCTCCAATTTTGTCAGCTTTGAGTGAGAAGCTATACATACTGAAAGGTGGATGCGGTGCTGCAAGGTATTCCGTTTTTTGGGGTTTATTCTTGGGCTTGTTCATCAAATTTTCACTCATTTGTCATTTTGATATCTAATTATTCCTTTTTGTTGGCATTTAGAGTGGTCAGAGTAATTTATGCGAAACCGTTGAGTTTGTTGATTGTTTGGAATTTATACTGTTTCTTTCTTTTCTCCACAGTTCCATAAAAATGGTTAACCAATTGCTCGCTGGGGTTCACATAGCTGCAGCTGCTGAAGCAATGGCATTTGCAGCTCGATTAGGTTTGAAAACAAAAGTGTTGTTTGAAGTTCTTAAAAATGCTAGTGGTTATTCATGGTAAGTACATCATTTAAAATTTTGTAAATTATTCCATATTTTTACTAACATAGATTCCTCTTATTCACAATTCATTTTGAACATCAAGGCTTTGGTAGCACCTGTCTATATCCCTAAATTTTTGTTTTGATAATGCCTGTTACTTAATTATTTTATATATTTTTTATTTTTTTTTTGGTTAGTCACGAGCGACTCAAGCAGAATGCCTTTTTTATTATCTTTAAACTCGGCACACAATAGTTTTTGGCTCGCTGTTATTGATGATGCATTTGCTTGATAAGGTCCTTTGCCAATTCATTTACATTTCAAAATAACGTTTTGTGATTTGATGTTTTGAGGCAGGATTTCCATTAAATAAATAAAAAAAATCCTAATGGCTTGTTGTTAGAATATTAGAATAATAATGGTTATTCCGAGCCATTATTAATATGCATATTGTTGTATTATTTGCTTCGCTATTTCCCTTTATTTTGTTTTTATTTTTTCCTTATGAGTGTCCCTTGTAAGAGGGGTTATATACCCCTCTTTCTATCATTAATATATGCTGCTCTATTCCAATATTTCAACACTTATATTATATTTTACATTGATCTTTTCTTTGCAGGATGTTTGAGAATCGTGTACCACACATGTTAGAAGACGATTTTACTCCATACTCCGCAGTTGATATCTTTGTCAAGGACCTTGTACGAATTTGCCGTTGCTCACTTTTTTTTTAATCTTCATTGAATATATGGAAAGTAGAAATGGTTCCCGCCAAATTGCACTCTTGAAATAAGATTTCTTGTTGATTGTGTCAAGTTTTTCTTAGTTAATCTGAGGGATTTTTTTTCTCTTAGTTTCTTTGAGGTGGTCCAATTTGAGAAACTTGGCCCTATATCCAATCTCCGTTTGACAAAGGAATAAGTTATACCTTATTCCAAGCGTGGATTTATTGATGGAATGAATCATTATTCTTTGAAAAATAAACTATATATATATTTATGGCACCTCTTTTTTTTTGCTTTCAGGGTATTGTTTGCAATGAAAGTTCCAAACATAAGATATCTCATCTTATCTCAAGCATTTCATATCAGCTATTTGTCTCAGGTAAAACAATTGAAATTTTATTATTCAACATAGCACTCACTATTCGATGCACTACGCTCTTCTTGTAGTTTGTTCTTGTATTTCTTGAATGACAGTGAATTCTTGTTTGTTCTGATAATGTTGTGATGAAATTTGGAAGTGCACACTCGTCGAGAACACAGAAAGTAATGAGCACACGAGTTTAATCATTATAGTTTGTTTTCTTTCGTTGTTTGTCTTAAATGGATGTATTTAAAATACATACCGTTTAGAAATGCAAAGTTGAGGGAATGTAATGTATTTTGATTTTAGCTAGCTATTTAGTTTGATGGAAGTCAAATATTGGCATTATTTTTATTTGTTAGTATACATTGCAAATATAATGTAAGTTTCTCTCTCTCTCTCTCTGATGCGGGAGCTTTCTAGGGCTATAGCTGCTACTATACCACGAGATTCAATATTGTGGGTGTCGGGCTACCGAAACAATCTCTTTTTTCCTTATGCTTTCTTTCATATTATATTTCATTTCTTTTTAGTCCTTTCATATATATGTGTTGCATTAGAGTTTGGAACTCAGTTTTGGATGATGTTATTTTCTCTTCTAGGGCTGTATCTGAGGGCGAGAATGTGCTCCGACTATAACTCGTTCTATGTGGTGACTTCTTCTAGAGGATTGAGTGGTGCTCCGGTTGTAGCTCGTTCTTGATTGAGTATTTATCCTTACCTGATTATTTCGAAACCTTTCCAGCCACCTCCTCTTTGTCGCCCTCCATCTCGTTGCCGTCCCTGTTCCATCCCTTGCCTCGCTATTTTGATTTCTATCCAACCCTTTGTAATTGCTGCAGTCGCCCAGTATAACAACCTTGCTCGTTTTTTCCTGTAGTCCCCAGCCAGCTATTTCCTTTATTCTAGCCATCGCCCTCATTGCCGCAGGCTCGGGTCAGCACTCTTGTTTTCCGGTACTTCACAACTCTTTCTGTTCGCTGCCCCTCGCTGTCCATGCCCTCCCCTTGGCTATTGTTGCCGTTCTAGGGCCTCTTCTTGATGGTGAATGCAGTTCCAACCCATTCTTTTGTTGCCCAACAACCCACAACTTATTTCAGCCTCCTATCACTACTTCCAAACCACCTAGCCGACATTACCACTTGTCATCAAATTTTTGCTCATCCGTCATTTTGATATCTAATTTTTGTTCATTTCCAAACCACCTGGCCGATAATGGCTTTCGACACAGGTTTATTCTTGGGCTTGTTCATCAAATTTTCACTCATTTGTCATTTTGATATCTAATTATTCCGTTTTGTTGGCATTTGGAGTGGTCAAAGTAATTTATGCAAAACCGTTGAGTTTGTTGATTGTTAGGAATTTATGTAGCTTTATTCTTTTCTCCATAGTTCCATAAAAATGGTTGACCAATTGCTCGCACATAGCTGCAGTTGCTGAAGCAATGACATTTGCAGCTCGATTAGGTTTGAAAACAAAAGTGTTTTTTGAAGTTCTTAAAAACAAAAGTGCAGCTCGATTAAGGTTAGTTCTCTCCACAATCTCTTATAGACAGAGATATTTATGGCTCAATTTTTCTGTCTTTCCAAAATATTGCACACCCTTTAATGAACTGACCTTAATAAAAACAAACTCCTTAACTTCAAAGTCAATAGATTTTTGCTTTGCATCGTAATATTTTTTTTGTCTGTCCTATATTGTCTTTAATTTGTCTCTCATTAGTTTAATCTTCTCAGTAGCATCATCAACAAAATCAACTCCGATGATCTTTCTTTCACTTGTTTTGGCCCAACATAATGGTGTCTGCACTACCTTCCATACAGTGCATAATATGGATTCATCCCAATGTTAGCCTCGTGACTATTACTGTAAGCAAATTCTACTAAAGGTATATTTGATTCCCAACTTTCACCAAAATCAAGAATACATAATCTTAATACATTCTCTAAAGTCCAAATAGTTCTCTTTGACTGACAGTTTGTTTGAGCGTGAAATGAAGTACTGAAAATTAGTCGTATTCCCAAATCTTTCTGAAGTTTCTTCCACAATCTAGAAGTAAACCGACCATCTCTGTCGGATATAATAGACTTTGACGCTCTTTGCAACCTGGCAATTTGATTCACATATAATTTGGTTAATCTCTCCACTAGATCTGTCTGTATAATGGGTAAGAAATGGGCTGCCTTTGTCAATCTGTTGACGATTACCCATATAACATCATGACCTTGACGTGATCTAGGCAACCCAATCACAAAATCTATTGCAATCCCCTCTCATTTTCACTCTTAAAATTGGTAAAGACTGCAACTGACCTCCAGGATGTTGATGCTCTTCCTTCACTGGCTTACGGTGCGTAGTACTGAGGGAATATTTCTTCCTACTTCACTGGTTGACGTGAAGGACACTTAGCCACAAATTATGCCACACTCTTCAATCCTGGCAACCAAAATGCTTCTTTGAGATCTTGGTACATTTTATTACCTTGTGGGTGCATAGTATAGCTAGATAAATGTGCTTTCTTCAGAATTTTGTTTCTTAGATCAATATTTAGAACATAAGTCTTATCTTTATATCAATAAGCCATCTTGATCTAGCATATATCTCTTCAAATCGCCCGTCTTAACATTTTTCAGGATTTTCTGAAAACTACTATCTCGGCTAAAGAATCTTTAATTTTGCTCATCAAAGCTGAATGCACCATCAACCAATATAATTGAACCATCCTTCTATCACCATAATCAACTATAAATAGCTTCAACTTTTCAAGAATTGCTCTTGCTAAGCAAATAAATAGTTCAAATTATCTGAAACTTTCTTGTTCAGTGCATCTGTCACCACATTTTCCTTTCTCTGATGGTACTGAATATCCAAATCATAATCTTTAATAAACTGCAATCATTTCCTTTGCCCCAACTTTATTTTTTTTCTAGTAAAGGTACAATTTAAACTCGGGTGACAATAAATACCTTGCATTTAACTTCACACAGATAGTGCTTCCATATCTTGAGTGAAAATACGACAACCAGAAGCTCCAACTCATTAATGGGATAATTCCTTTCATGAATTTTCAGTTGTGGTGATGCATATGTAATGACTCTTCTTTGCTGCATAAATACACAACCCAAACTCCTTAACAAAGATGCATCGCTAAAAATTTGAAACCCAATAGAACCTGAAGGAATGACCAAAACTGGTGCAAACATTAAGCAAGTCTTCAACTTCTGAAAAGTTTCCTCACAGCCATCTGACATTCAAATTTTACTTTCTTTTGAGTCATCTTTATTGTGACGTAACAATCTATGAGAACCCCTTGAAAAATCTCCTATAATAACCAATCAAACTTACAAAACTTCTGACCTTAGTCATGGTAGTAGATCTTGACCAATTTAGAACCGTCTTGACATTATTATTATTCACATATATGCCGACTCCATTGATAATGTGCCTAAGAAAAGCCACACTTTTAAGTCATAGTTCACATTTAAAAAATTTGGTATAATGTATACTCTCTTTCAAAACCTGTAGCATAACATGTAAATGACATGTATGACTAACTTCATCCCTCGAATACACAATAATATCATTTAGAAAGACGATACCATAATATCCAAAAACTGTCTGAAGTCCCTGTTCATCGGGTCCATGAAAACTGCTGGAGCATTAGTTAATTCAAATGACATTATCACAAACTTATAATGCCCATATCTGGTCATGAAAATCGTCTTTGTTATGTCTTATTTTTTAATCTTCTGGTGATAATATCCTGACCTTAGTTCAATCATTGAAAATATAGAGGCTCCTTTCAACTGGTTAAATATATTGTCAATACTCTACAATAGATATCTGTTTTAATAGAGAGCTTATTTAATTCGTAGTCGATGCACATCTTGAAGCTCCCATCCTTCTTTACAAATAATACTGGAGCTCCCCAAGTTGAGGTGCTAGTTCCAATGAACCCCTTTTCTAATAACTCCTGCAATTGGCTATGCAACTTTTGTAACTCTTTAACCATCATTCTTTAAGGTGTCTTGGATACATGCTCAGAACCTGACAAGATCTCAATAGTGAAAACAATCTCAACTTTTTTATGTCATGTCATGCTATTGGGTCGTCACTGAGCTTAAAGATCATATTACTTATTGATAATAGTTGGGACCTCCAACCATAGAAGTTATCAATAACCCTCATGGTAGTAATAGTTCCTTACATTCGGTCGCCTTTTGATTTCAACGGTTCCTAGAGTTTCTCTCTGTTTGAATACCAGAAGTCGAGAATCCCATCGTTCGCAATCATTTATACTGACAAATATTCATGTTATAGCCTAACTATAACCTCACTTACAATATTTTAAATTATAATTCTTGTAATAAACATTCATCATAGGCATTTCATATATTATGTGCATGAATCATTGCAAATAAATACTTGCAAGTAATGATTTCATAAGAATGTTCATTAGCTTCATTACATAGTATTATCATAGGTATCGTAAGTGACAAAAGTTTGCATTCATATAATTTATGCAGAGATTTATCAACAATGTGCATAAACTTCTAAATGCAATAGTGTCAATACATAATTACTTAGAAACCTGCATAAAATTAATTTTTTTAAATTAACACATAATTTTTTCACACGAATTGTCGGAATAACTCTACAATAAGTTTTGCAAAGTTCGCATTGAGCTCACCGCCTAGTGTAAAGAACTTTGAATTCGTAAACATCTTAGAATTTTATAAAATTCTAGCTTATTTTGTAATTTAACCCCAAACATAACTTTCTTTCCTTTGATGGCTTCTCTGCATAATTTGCTCATCTTTGATACGTCCTATTTGACTTCCCACTTTCTTATATCCACTTTACTTCGCTTATTTCCGCCTAAAAACCAATATAGTAGCCAACAAATCAAGTTTGTAGTCTCCAACACAAGCTCTCCCCTTGTTATGGTGACTGGAAACGAAAAAGTGCTCACAAATGTCAAAAAGAAAGTGTAAAGAAGGAAATAAATGTCATAAATA